CTGTGTTACCTGCCAGGGCTGATGGGACTCAACAGAGTCTCGGAGTTTGGTGAAATGACTCTTTCAGGGTTTACTCATGGTCCTCCGTCTTTCTTGACAACCTTCGTGTGTGGTTTGCCTGGTGGAGTCCGGGGTCCATGGTCTTGTTGGATCTGGGTCTGTTCCTTTGAAAAGACCCAGATGCTGGCTCATGTTCTCCAACATTTAAATCCTTCTCCCCATTAGTAAAGTTTTCGGAGTATGTGGCTCCTATATATATTTATTTATTTGCAAATTATATGCTTGCAGTACATTTCTATAATTAATGTATATGACAAAACTTACACAAATATAATAATTTAAAAAACATGAGATAAAAAGGAATATAAATGGAAGTTCTAGTCCACCACCCTGGTGGTGAGCCTCACTCTCAGGGGCCTCTACTCCCAATGAAGCTTCTCTAACTTCAGGTGAGGGCATGTATGGGTTGGGGGAGGGGTTGGAAGGTGCAAAGCAGGGACCGCATGTCCAGGAGGTGGATTTTATGTACTTTTTCTTTCTCCCTTCAGATTTTTTAAAAATGATTACTTTGAATTCCCAATAGATTCAGGATTCAGAGCCTCGGTTGCCGTCAGTCGATTTTGACTCATAGCGACCCTATAAAACAGAATAGAACTGTCCCATAGAGTTTCCAAGGAGCGGCTGGTGGATTTGAACTGCCGACCTTTTTGTTCGCAGCTGAGCTCTTAACCACTGCGTTAGCAGGGCTCTTTAGAATTCAGAGAGAGGTATGCTTTTCATGATGGAGTTTTACCCAGAGACGGAAGCTGAACACAGAACACTGCACTGGTTTTCATGGAAGTTAATAAAGTCAAGTTCCCTTCAGGTGTCATTGTCTTCCTTTTAAACTGTGCCATGATTAAAAATAACAGACTGCTATCAAGAGGAGTTTCTATACTCTGAAATACGTGTTTTCTAAAAGGCAAAGTGATTTCTTTTTGCCTGAAACAGTAATATATACCATAACCTGATGATGTTGGAAATAACTTCCTAGAGGGAGATCACCTGGCTAAGCTATGAAAGGGGTTCTTTCAAAGAGATTGTATGGTGTAGTAAAAAGAGTATTTGGCCTGAGTCAGAAGATGTGGAAATTGTGTAGATGTGTGGTTGGGGAATATCTCTGTGCCTCAGTGTCCCACTTTGTTAATTAGGTGACTGGACTATAGAGAAAGGCCATGATCATTTTTTGGTAATGACTCTTCTTCCTGCCTAGTCCTCCTTCTCGTGCTCCTTTTTGGCTTCTTCTCCTCATCCTCCTCCCCACCCTGTACTTCACCTAAAAATCCATTGCCATTGAGTTGATTCCAACCCATAGCCACCCTATAGGACAGAGTAGAACTGCCCCATAGGGTTTCAAAGGAGAGGCCGGTGGATTTGAACTGCCGCCCTTTTGATTAGCAGCCATGTCATTTAAACACTGTGCCATCTAAAGTCACCAGAATTTCCCCAGGCAATTAGTAATGGTTATGGGGTGCAATGGTGGTGACCAGTAGTATCATTCTGAGTAAAATGGGTTAGAGTTGGGGGGTGGTGTAGAAAGCAGCACCCAGTGCTCTTTTGGCCAAGCTCTTTTTCGTACTTCAATTATTGAGAAACCTTTTAAACAGGGTCCTGGCCACGGCAAACAGACCCTAGGGCTGCCTGTCCTTTATCTACTGTCTTCAAATCCTTCTATCAGATGGCCTCTTTGGAACTCTCCCTGCTCTAATAGCTATAAAGGATGTATTTATTAGTGGGGCAAGGATATCTCAGCTCCCTACCTGAAGTCTTCCTCTTTTCTTCTACTGGGAAAAGTTCAAGGAAAGGTAATCATGTTTCCAGAAAATATTTGTGCTGGCCCTCATGCTCCATTCCAAGGGGGATAAGAATGACCATAGACTTAGCTTATAAGGCACTTCTGTAAAAATAAAAGATCCTGGCCTACAATCTAAAAAAAAAAAAAAAAAAGAATATTAATATATTAATGCACTCAATCCAGAGGGCCAGGCAAAGCACAAAAACGCTTAGACCAAAATGCTGTGTCATCCGCCCACCCACATTTTCCTGTGAAAAATGCTAGCATTTCCTAAATCCTCATCTATTTTGCTGAATGCTGCATTATTTTATACCTCTTTCTAAATATTAGTTTCATCTTAAACAGATGATATATACTTCTAAAAAGAAAGTGCCTTTTTCATGATTATGGGTTGATGTGGATGTGAAAAGCATGGAATTGTATCCATAGGGAAAAAATGAGTGATTCTGGTTAAAATCTATTGATAGGACCTCACAGGACATCCATGGCTACTTTCCATAGTTCTCTGATTCAATAACATCATAATAAACCTGACAAATCTCAAAAAACTTATAGCTATGATTTTGTAAAATATTTTACTACCTGAGTATGTTTTATTCTTAATTACAAAATAAATACACACCCAAAAATTCCTCTTGTCAGCTCATTCTGCTCTTTTTAGAGAAGGAACCATTAGCCTGTCATCCATTGGGTAATCTGAGTGACTTCTCCAATGAAATACCTTTGACAGCTGTTATTGAAATAGATTTTACCAGGAAAAGGAAAACAGGCTTCTTATGAATAGTCTTAACTAAGTGCACAATTTAGAAAGTGTTAGGAGGTGTATAGTAAGTGAGACCTTAGATTACTAATTACTGTAATAGAATAGGTTCCTGGGTGGTGCAAGCAGCTTCCTCTTGGTTACTAACCTAGAAGTTGTCCATTTGAACCCACCCAGCCATGCCACTGAAGAAAGGTCTGGTGATCTGCTTTTGTAAAGATTACAGCCAAGAAAACCCTATGGAGCTCAGTCCTACTCTGACACACATGGTGTTGCCACGAGTTGGAATCATCTAGATGGCAATAGGTTTTTTAAGAAAATAAAATACAGATTAATTGTACACCTTCTTCAATTATATATCAAAATACCATTTCTCTAATAATTTTACTGGGGCAATGTATATCTCAAGCACAGATTAAATGATATATATTTTTTAAGATTTTAAAACTATTTTAAGCCATGTGTCCTTTTTGTAGCCTTTTAATAAATTTAAAACATAGCTAGACTTGCCCAAGTTTTGGAAAATGTGCATTTCTTAGAATTATTTTAAAAAGTGAATCCTTCTAAATAGTCTAGCAGTTCTGGCATTGTTAGCTGAACATTAGGAATTTGTCATATTTTTGGAAACATGTAATATCATTTGAGGCCATAACCACATTTTAAGGAGCAAATAATTTAATCTTTTAATATCATTTTTAAGCAGTAAATATAAATTTGCAAGAGGATGTAATATGGATATTGCTAGAAATCTGTCTTATTTGTGAAAACTATTCAGATATTTGATAATATAGTTTGTTTCATTTAAAAATAAAACAAATCCCACAAACATGACACAAGCTGTTACATGCAAAATAATGTACCAGTTTTACAGCTCCCCAGGGAGTAAGCATGAGTCAGATACATCTTTGCTGGTTCTTTTCATTCCTGAAGTCCATTTGCTGTAGTACTTTCTTCATTATGTATCCAAAGAAAGTAAATCAGTCATTTTGAGTGTACAAAGTGGTGCTCAACAAATAAGAAATGTGACCCTGCTAGCCATTTAACTGGATGATGACAAAAACTGGACAAATGAGATATTGTCCCTCCTTAGAAGCAGGGGAAGATTTACTTGTTTTAAAAGATCATGATTTTCTTACTTGTTGGTCAGAGTGCAAGCTAATTAAAACCTGTGGAGGAAAGGTTTGTGCAGGTTTACATGTGGAATCTAATTCTTTTGCTCAGAAGTAAAAACATAAAAAATAAAAATACACAAACCTTTCCTCTGGCGTGCACAGCTGTTGATATTCCTCCTGCACCGCCAGTTTGATAGTTTCATAGCTACTCAGAAGAACCTGTCAGTGGGTGCCTGCCAAGCCTCCTTAGAATGGCTACAGGGTCTCTTTGGGAGGTCTTGATGTGTGAGCTCTGTGGGCTCTCTGTGAACAGTCCCTGTAGGAAGTCTGTGGGAGGTCTCTGTCTGAGGTCTTTGTGGGAGGTCTCTGAGTGGGTTTCTGTGTGGTGTCTCTGTGAGGAGTCTGTATGATAGGTCTTTGTGGGAGGTATGTATGTGGAGGTCTCTATGGGAGGTCTCTGAAGTTTCTGTGTGAGATCTCTCTGTGGTGCCTGTGGGTATTCTCTGTGGGAAGTCTCTCTGGAAGGTATATCTTTGAGAGGTCTCTGTGGGAGGTCTCTGTATGGTGTCTGTGGTTAGTCTCTGTGGGAGGGCTCTGTGAGAGGTCTCTGTGAGGTCTATGTGTCAGTCTCCCTGTGAAGTCCCTGAGAGTTCTCTGGGGGAAATCTGTGCAAGGCGTCTGTGTAAGGATTCTGTGCTGGTCTCTGTGGGAGGTCTCTCTTGTGAGAGATATCTGTGGGAGGACTCTGTCTGAGGTCTGTGTGAGGATCTCTGTGTTATATCTCTATGCAAAGCCTCTTTGGGAGGTCTGTCTGTGAATGGTCTCTATAGAGGTCTCTGTGGGACATCTTTCTGTGAAAGGTTTGGCTGGGATCTCTATGGGAGATCTGTAGGTCTCTGTGGGAGGCTTCTGTAGGAGGCTTCTCAGGAGGACTTTCTAAAAGGTCTCTGTGTGAGGTCTGTGAGAGGTCTCTGTGGGAGGTCTCTAAGTTCTGTCTGTGAGAGGTCTCTGTGGGAGGTCTCTATGTAGCATCTCTGGATTCTCTGTGGGGTTTGTGTGGGAGGCATCTGTGGGAAGTCTGTGAGGTCTCTGCTGTCTGTAAGGTCACCAAAGGTCTCTGTGCTGGGTCTTTTTGGAAGGTTTATGTGTGAGGTTCCTGTAGGAGAGTGCTATGAGAGTTGTCTGGGAGGTGTCTCTGGAAAGTCTCTGAGCTTTCTCTGTGGTCAGTGTGGCTGTCTGTGTGTGAGGTCTGTCTGTGTGTGAGGTCTGTCTGTGTGAGGTCACTATGGGAGGTTTACAAGAGGTCTGAGTTTATGGTGAGAGGTCTCCGAGTGAGTTTTCTGATTGGGGTCTGTGAGGTCTCTTGGAGGTCTCTGTGTGGGTCATTGTGAGGTCTCTGGAGGTCTCTGTGTATAGTTTCTCTGCAGAGATCTTTCTGTGAGGAATCTGTGTGGATCTCTTCATTTCTGGTCTTACTGCACCTGATGGGAAGATCAGGGGGCAGGAGAAAGGGAAGGAACTCGCTCCTTTCACTCTTCTTTCTGTTCTGTCAATTGCCCCATCTGTGCACTTCTCTGGCAGGAACAGTGGGGATGAGCAGCAGTTGGTCCAGAACTCACCTCAGTTGCAGCCAGGCATGCCCTCAAACTTCTCACCTCCTGAGGGCCTAGGCAGCTCTCTACTCAGAGGCCTCTGGCCCCTCCTGCAGGTGCAGGCTCTGCCCTCACTGTTGCAGTCACTCCGGAGGCTACCTCAGAATCAGAGCCCACCAGGCTGCAAGGAGAACTTGGCAGTACCAGCAGCCAGGCTCTGGGGCTCTGGTGTCCTGAGACATGGGACAGGACTTGGTGTTGTGCAACCCCAGGGAGCTCTCCATTGTCATCTATATCACGGCACCTCCTGGAGCACTAACCTCCACCATGGGAATGGTGCCCTGAGTTGGGCCGCACTGAGAGCCCTGGGTGTAACGCGAAACATGTAAAAACTTTCTCTAAAGAAATTGCTCTTCTCCTCTCTGCTTTTTTGGGGGCTCTCTTGCTTTCCCATATGGTCCAGGGCCAGGGGAAGAGGAATAAGAGACCACTCTTGAAGTGTGCCATCTCATTTGATCAGAGGTGGTAAGAGCTGATCCAGGCCAGGGGTCAATTTTTATTCCCCTAGGTCCTTTCTAATAACACATACTTTGGACATGTTATCAGGAGGGACCAGTCCCTGGAGAAGGACATCATGCTTGGTAGAGGGTCAGTGAAAAAGAGGAAGACCCTTGAGGAGAGGGATTGACACAGTGGGCTGCAACAATGGGCCCAAGCATAACAATAATTGTGAGGATGGTGCAGGACCTGGCAGTGTTTTGTTCTGTTTTACAGGGGGTCGCTATGGGTTGGAACCCACTCGGTGGCACCTCACAAGCTTGAATCCGGTTCCCACTAAAGTGGTGGAAAATTACCTGAATGCTACTTGAAGATTTGTACAAATTCCTTGCTCAAACCTGTAAATTGCATGTTGCCCTTTCCCTTCTAGCTTTCCTCAGTACTCCCTTCCCTTTGGCCTCGTCCTGTTGGAAAAAAGATACTGCTTTTCTCCTCCACCCACCCCTGGGTCCACAGTGCCTAACAGTCAGTGGTTACTACGCACACGCTTACTGGGTGCCACTCACCCCAAGCTGTCTGCTCCCTCTCTGGGAGGAGACAGAGGGGAAGGTCAGTAACCTGTGAACAGGGCCACTGAGAGGGTACACTCTTCATTTGGGGTAGGGGTGAACATGACCCCTAGCAGCCTCCCTGGCAGCTCCCCACTCACATGTCACAGAGCTGGAAGTTCCGTCCTCGCTGCTGCTCTAGAGTGGGAGGCAGAGGCAGGGGAAGTGTGTCCCTGTACATTTCTTTATGGGTAAGCCAAGGGGGGTTGCAGGCCCATCTCCCCAGTCATCATCAGGGAGAGAAAAGGCCTGTTCCCATTCTGTGACATGTGAAGCTATGTGGGGAATTCCCGGCTCGATTATGCCTCTGCAAACCCATCCCCCTGCAGCTGCATAAAGTCTTCATAGGGAATCTTTATAGGGTTTTTTTCATCTTCATAAGCCCTGAAAGCTTTTATTTTGTGTGTGTGTAATGACAGTATTATGAAAACATAAGGTGCAAACTAAGGAATCTGGGTGGAGATGGGTGTGCACCACCACTGTCAACTTCCCTCCATGCCTTGTCCCTTCCAGAAGCCAAAGCAAGCACTCAGAAGAGTGGACACTGACCTTTCCCATATACCCCAGCATGGCACAGACAGAAGCCACACCCTTTTATGAGTAAAAACATATGTATTAGGGAACAATAACTATACTGGGTGGGAGAAGTGTTAGCACATAGGGAATGTGCTAACATGAGAATAAATGGGTTGTCTTTGCATGGGCAGAATATTCCTACGAGAAAAAGCTGGCTGACTGTAACAGACACCTCTCTGATGGCAGAATGTTGAGTAGTGAGGGCAGCCTGAGGCACCCCACATCCTTGACCCATGCTGGCAAGGACTGACTGGGGACACAGGCCTCCTAGAAGGCAATGCCCGATCACTGATCTTAAATTTCACCATTATGTAGGGATTTCTGTCCCCCTCATGGGTCCATTTGTTCCTGATAGAACTCTGGCCCTCAGCGGTGGCGTGGTGATGGCAGACTGTACCATTCATTTCTCTCCTGTGCTCTGGGTAACAAGGAGCCTTGCGGTAGGATGGACGTCCACCAGCTGGATCCTGACCTTCCTGGATTTTCTCTGTTTGCTGATTTAACTTCGAGGCATAAAATCCTTGCTGAAGCCTAAGTTTCTCTACTAAGATCTGGCCAACAGCTGTCATAAGTGCCTGAGCCTCTGCAGCTCCCCTGTCCATAAACACTGATCTGCTTTTGACTGGTCTGTGGCTCTGGGCGGAGGCTGAAGTTCGCTTCCCTTTTTGCAGGGGATCACCCTGCCCTTTGTCTTTTTTATTAGGGCAAATGCTTTGAAGAAAGCTACTCATCCTCTTTTTGAAATGGACTTCTGGAGCAGCATGTCCTTTCTCTGTTGGGAGCTGGGGGGACTTGATGCCAAGGGACTCTACTGACTTCTTGTCCTGGGCAGGCTGGCTCATCCCACTGGCTGGGGAGGCCCCCAATCCTGCCAACCCTTCTTCACACTCTTTTGGTTTGCGCCTCCTAAAATCCTTTCTCTCATCAGTAGGGGCAGAAATCTTGCTCTGGCTCTTCCATGGGTCCTGAAGTTTTGGGATCTTGGAGTCCTGCTGCACCAGGCTGCTCCCTCCGGCTGCCATGAGCTCACTTAGCATTTTTGAAGGCATGTCTCTATTGGACACACGCTTTAGATGGGAGCGAGAGGCCTGAGAAGCCAAGATATCTGAGGCAAGGAGCACATCAGTGGCACAGCCCTGAAGAATCATTTCAGTGGCACAGTCCTGAAGGAGCTCATCAACAGGACAGCTTTGAGGCTGGTTTGCTGTCTCTAACTCCATTTTGAGCTCTTCACTGAGCACTTGTGCTTTAAGGTATGTTTTTCCTGGATCTTGAACAGACATTCTAGGAGGTGAGGGGCTTTTGCTAGTCCCTGGAGCCCCTAAACCCCTCAGATCCACATTTATATTTTGGGATTTTGCGAGCATACTAGTTTTCAAGATGTCTCTCTCTTGTAGCTGTGGTGCAGAGGACCCCTTGGCCACTACTGTCTCCCTGGTCTCTTTGGCCCTTGAAGATTGGGATTGATAGCTCATCTCCAGCCTTGCTACACTACAGCTGGGGCCTCCTAGGGCACAACTTTTACCCTCCTTCCGTGGTTCCTTCCAGGTAACTGACTGACTTGGAGTCGGCTCTAGGCTGCCTCTCTGGGCCCCTAGCACAGTCCTGCTCTCCCTGGCTCTGCCCACGATGCTGGGTGTGAGAGGCTGAAAACATTGCCTGCCCTCCTGTCCACTTTGAGTGGGCTCTGAGGGCCTAGGGTCATTGTCAGGTGGGGTTTGTCTCAGAGCCCCCTGGACTTCCTCACCTACAGGTGAGGGGGCAAGGAGAGGATTCTCCAGGGTGGGCTCTGACTTTTTCGGTGTCGCCTTCTCTCCCCAGCCTGCCTTGGGGTTTTCTCCCCAGATCTTGGCAGCCTCAGCTCTTGAGCTCGTCCAAGATTCATAAGTGGCTGAGGAGGGAAATTCATACTGGGAAAGGGGTGATGATTGAGTCTCACTCAAAGTGAGATTCATGGGCTCACCCACCTGAACAGGTAGGTCCCACTTGTGCCTCACAAGGAATCTTTTAATATGTGCCTCCAGGGCCTGCCGTGTGCCCAGAGGGAGGAATGAAAACTCCTGGGTGGTATTCGTGCAGTATGCCTGACACTTTGAGGTCACCAGATTTCCAGTTTCTATTTGAGTGTTGGACTTGGGCAAAGTATGGTTGGCAGTAAGCCAAGAACGGCCTACACCTACAGGAATCTTACCCTTGATGATCTGCCCCAACTCTCTGCCCAAATGGGCTTTCAGGGTGTTTTCTAGCTGTTTCTTATCTGGGTTCCTTAGTATGTAATTTCCCGTGTTACTCCCTGAGTTGCTCATTGAATCACTTTTTAACTCCTTCTCAGAGCCTGTCTGAAGAACCTTCACTGGGGATTTTTCTGAGCCCTGGGATATATCATATTTTGGGACCTGCCCCAGACCCTTGCACAGGTCCTTCCCTAACTGGAAATTTCTTGGGCTCTTCACATGGCAGCTTTCTTGGTGCCTTGATCCCATCTTCTTTACATCCTTGCTGCTTTCACCTATAAACACAGAATGCCATGAGGGTCCATGCTGGTCCTTTGCCTGACCTGTCCCTCGTAATTTTCCCTGAGGCTGTGTCAGTTCCAGAGACTCTTGGATCCTGCTGGGCAGGCTCCGCTTGTGTTGGGTGAGCCTCTTTCGAATGTGTTGTTCCAGTTGTTTCCGGAGCTCAGTTCTGCTAGGAACATCCCCAGGAAGGATGGAGTCTGACTTGTAGGCCTCAGAGGCCCGGCTATCCTGGGGAAGGTTGGGACTGAGAGGACTAAATGCTTCCTGAGATCCTTTGGCCACAGAGGGTACAGCCCACCCACTTTTCAGTTGCTTTTGCAACAAGGGTGATTCTAGGTGTTGAATTTCAGTTGAGATGAGAGATTGTGTTTCATTTTGGGCACTAGGGCAAGATATTCCATAGGCCCTAATCTGCGCCATAGAAGCTGGTGGTGGGATTGGGAAAGAGGATAGGAGACAGGCCTGGGGGAGAACTGGAGCCAAAGGTGGGGCCTGGGGTTGGGCCTCAGGGTGGGGCAAGGGCTGGGGCTGGGAGGGCAGTGACGATACTTGAACTGGGCAGGCATTAGAAATTCTATTGAATAAAACAGAGGGAGACTGTAGAGGGGAAGAGCTCCCAGAGACCCAGGCAGTAGCCACCAGGGATTCACTGTGCAGAGAAGGGAGGCCCCAGAAGAGCTGGTTACATTTCTGCTGTAAATGGTTCCCCAAGACCTTGGGATATATGAGCTGCTGAGGACTGGACAGCTGCTCTGGCTTGCTCCAGAATGGCTGGGGGACTGTGGTGGTCTGCTCATGACTGAATGATTTTAACATCCCCAAAGAATTCAGGTGGTAGTCTGGGTTCATGTGTTTTTTAAACAATCCATCCTTTTCTTTTTCTTTCCAAATCTTCAATTGCACTCTCTTTGCTATTTCTATTTCCAGGAGCTTCTGGACGTCAGGGTTAAGGGAAGAGGGGCCCCCAGCTTCTACGCTCCTGTTTGTGCAACTTCCCCAGAAAGAGGCCTTTGATGGGTGGTGGGAAGTATGCTCTTGCTGGGATTCGCAGTGTTTCCAGGTGGGAAAGAACAAGGCCTTGGCAGCTGCCCACCACCAGGAGAGGGCCGAAATGGGTCGACTTGAGCAATCAGGGCATGTGATTTTGGGGACAGAAGATGCCAAATAATATGAGTTACCTGAAGAAGAACTCTCTGGAGCGGTCTTCCAGTCACAAGAGTCGTCAGTTGTCCAGTCAGAAGGGTCTTCAGTTATCCAGCTAGAAGAGTCCTTGGTCTTCAAGTCAGATGGGTCTTCTGGAGGTTTTGCTGAAGCGGTGGAGGCCAGATGGCGAGGGGGCTGGGTCGGAGGACCTATGGCAGCAGAGGGGGACACCACGGAAGCGGCATCTTCCACAGGCTCTGCACACTGCTCTGCGCACGGCCGACGACGGGCTTCAGCAGGCGCTCCTTTGCGCACTGGACCAGAGGGTTCTCCAAATTTCCGCTGACGAAAGTGGCCCTTGTCAGTCAGCTTTCCCAGGAGGCTGCAGGAGACAGAGGACCAAGCTGTAATAAAGGGCAAATGGTCTAGTGGGCCTCGCAGGCCCGTCAGGGGTAGGAGCATCTGCAGCGCACGCCCCGCCCCTCCTCAGCCGTGATGTCACCCATCCCTCCCCACGCCCTGATGTCACCTCTCGCGCCCTACGCCCTCACATCACAGTGCTCCTGTTGTCCCTCCCCCAAGGGCTTCTCTCACATTCCCTACCCACAGGAGCCATCCAAGTCAGCCCTATCTGCTCTGTGGCCCTGGGGTCACTCAGGAGCCCTTAATAGGAAGATGGACACAGGACAGAAGGGGAAGGTTTACTTACGTTTGCAGAAGTGCAATCAGGCCCCTAGCCTCGTGCAGTTTTTTCAGACAGTTTCTGCAAGCTAGAAATCAGGAGAATGGGTTACGGTGGCGAAGGTCAGGGCCTAGGAACCTTACGGGAAGCTGAGTGGAATGTCCCTCAGGGGACACCGTTGGGAGGTTAGACTCTGACAGCCCAAGCTTCAGAGTCCAAGGTCACATGGTCGCTGACTCTCATAGCGAGGCTCACTTGTGTAAGGTGCTTTGTAATTTACAAAGTGCTTCCACGTCCATTATCCTCTGTGACATCTCAGTGAGGAAGCTGAGTCTTGTTAAACAGCTTGTCGTAGTTGGACCTGTATGTTCAGCCTTCAAATCCACCACTTATCAGTTCATTATATCCCACACCACCCCCCGCTACTGGGCAACACCACTGCGAGGCCCATCATGGTTTCATTCCCGGCCCGCCCCCCACCCCACCCCC